GGAAACAAAAAATGCAGAGCTGGACAAAATTTGAGGTGTATTGCAGGACAGCACAGCAAAATGCTGCCAGAGTTACTAAGGAAATTGCTTCAATATCTCCTCACTGCTCTAGGCCATTACTCCAGTTGCTCTACTCCATGAGCATCAGGTCTTGAGGAACACTTGTCTAAGTGAGACTGAGGAGAAAGGAAGGGCAGAACAGTGGGGCATAAGAAGCACATTTGTTTTCAATGAAAGACAAGTACAAATATGATGGTTTTAATGCTCATGAGAGGGAAAACTCCCTTGTAGTGAGAGGGAAAACCACCTCAAATCTGCTGAACTTGGACCTCCACTGGAGAGCTTTTTAGCTATCTAAATATAGCAAAAAGTGCCCACAGAAAATTACTAGAGGGAAAACTCAGTTATTCATGAAGTAATGGGGCAAATTCTGTTTGGGATTTCCTATTGTAGAAACATGCATCCCTCAATCTCCTTTGGACAGACACCAGCAATATCAATAGCAGACTGTGAGACCCTGTGTTCCAGTGCCTGGCTACAAAAGGGTCAATTACATTTGTTTAAAATCTGCTAGGAAGGTAGTAAAGAATAACCAACAGTCAAACAGCCAATACTTCAAAGCAAATAAAAAACGCTGTCATCCACGGCTGTAAAGAGGACCCAAAAAAGCCAGGTGGCCCATACAGGTATTCCATGTGCCCTGGAGGTACTGTTCCCTGGTGGACAGTCATCTCCTTTCATACAGTGGCTCTACCAATTCAAATGGTTGGTGAGAAGGCAACTTGAGCAGACTTTACTATGTCTGTGATATCACCAAACCCTACTTAAAGCCTACTCTGGAGACTGTAACGGGACCAGAATGATGCAAATGCCTTGAGGTTTTGCCCCCTACAAAAGTTCAAATTCCTTGGTGTAGGAGGATTTGTCTCTATTTTGAATGGAGGTGGTGAGGGGTAGAGGGCGAGTGTGGACTTAGCAGCCCAAAATATTACACTGATTACTGGATGTTCCTACTAAAAGCACTTTTTTTCCCCCTTTTTTTCTTTCTATCTCTACCACTCCCTGGAGAGATTTGCAACAAATGCATGTGCTGTCTTTCCCTGTCTTGCTTTGCAAAAAGCAATGCCTAGAGCAGGAAGAGAAAATTAATTACGATAGAATTTCACACATTTTTCTGGGTGCTTAATGAAGCTTGAACTGGAGCAGAGTAGAGAGACTGCTTATTGTTGATTTTTTTTCAAGATCACTGCACAACAAACAGAAACTGAATAAGCAATTAAGTTAACTGGCTCTAAAACTCATCCTGGCTGAGGATTAAGGTAATTATGTCTGAGCTTACACACATTCATTGCAGCATTATTTCATTACAGCAAGTCTTGCCTGCTTGTTGTTGCTGATGTCATTCTAGAACTGATCTGAGTTGTTGTCCTTCTATTACCAAAAAGGTTACAAACACAAACTCTCCTTGCTATAAATATAGCTATGTTATTTTTACTACATGTTCAAAGGAGATGCAGACCTCTTTTTGCTAGGTTTTTACAAATACGTCCAACTGTTTCTTCCTGCACCAAAGTATTTACAATACCTTAGACTTAAGGGATCAATTAAAGTAATACACAATAGATGGGTTTGGTATGGTTTGGTACTGTCATACAGTGATTTCTCAGTCAAAGGGGGGGGGAAAATCTATTTTTTAGTCTGAGCGAAAAAAAAAGACGCTGGGAAAACAGTATCAATCTGCACAATATTCCATACTGCAGTATGGATTCTTCACCTTCTGAGTTACAAAGAAATTTCCTTTTAATGGCTGGAATGCAGGGGAGGGGAAAGGAAGGGAACCCCCCACATTCTCCTTGTCTAACAAGGAGCCTCGGCGTGAGAACCACTCCCTAGCAGAAGTAATCTGTGATTGACAATGGTTTTTGTGGCAGCCAGGGCTAAAAATGGTTTAGCTGTAAACAGACAAATTCAGAACATTTTAAGGCCCTTTCCTAAGGCAAGGGCTGCTTACACAGGCACTCAACATGCAGGGTGGGACCAAGAGAGCACCAAGCTTCAGAGTTCCTGAAAAAATCAAGGAATTTTTGTATCAGGATATGAGCACAAGCACAAGAGAAAAAGAATACCTTGTTATGGGCAAATGAGCAGGGGAAGATTTACCAAAATTGGAGATTTGTTCTCTGGGCAGTCCAGGCATTTATATGCATGATCTTAGGCAAGCTGCTATATATGGCTTCACCCTTCCTGCCTAAAAACTGAAAGAGAAATACTTTCATCTTCACAGAGAGCATGAATGTGGGGAAGGCACTTGGTATGACTGGGGTGGGAGCTCTGCAAACAACCAGAACAAGGTCTGTGACTGATACAGTTTCCCTGTACTCTCAGAGTCAGCTTTGAGGTCTACAATGAAAGGACATGAAGGAAATTAGGTGAGGTGGGACAACTTCAGAATTTTACTGGGAATAGAAAGGAACATTTAATATTGAAATGTGTAGAATTGCCTTGTGCTGATATTAATGATGCACACATTTGGAGATGAATGCTCTGAACACTGGGGAGGCCAGTCGAACTAAACAGGACCCAGTCCCAAACAAGGCAGACTCCTAAGGTCCTAAATCAGTGTTTTGTAAACATGTTGATTAGTAACTGAAAGAAATCTTTATTTAAAATATGAAAACCAGAAGAGAAGGGCAATGTTGGCAGAAAGATCATAAATCATGGAAACTCTATTATGAATCAAAACAACAGATGTAACATGAACAACAGCATCCTTTATAAACAGAAATTAGACTGTTCTGTTTCACTCTTTGGAAAGGCTAATATGCCCAAAATAAATTTCCCTGAATCGCTCATTAATGTTTTACGGTCATTGTTGACCAGCTGTTACAAAAAACCAAAATGTGGATGATTTATATCCCAGAAGAGTCACTCACCCCAAACCACATTTTCCTGATGGAGCTGACATTACGAACTATAACCACTTCCCTGACTATATTCTTTTCGCAGGGGAAGAAGCAAAGTGCAGGTGATTCACATATCAGCAATTTCTTGCTCTGCATTCACTTTCCTTCTCTCTTTATTAGCAGGCTAATACTGACTGCATGAGTCACCAATTATCACCTTCAGCACCAGACAGGAACTAAATTATCACAGTGATCTCTCCACAAAGCAGGCATCATACCATGTTTGCTGGGGCCCAAATACCTCAGACTTTAAACAGGAAATGACTTTGTCCTCCAGATTTCATGTTATGAAGAACCAGAGTTTCTGGGATGGAGGAACTTGTCCAGCCCAAAAACTCTCTGGACTTGCACTTATCTATCTTTTACAGCAACAGATCAGCTACAGTTTATCAATCAGTGTATCATGTAGAGGCAAGATGGATTGCCTGCCCTTCCTCACTGACAATGGAAAAAGCAGGATAACCAGACCATGGTTATACTTCCATGTCTGATCACATGAGGGGGAGAAGATCAGCTCCTGCTTTAGTCCTTGCATGGTGTGTATTGTTACTGGTGGCTCTCTCATTCCGGAGCTCTGGCATGTGAAGAAACAAAACTCACTTGAATAGGATTTACAGAGCTGCTTCTAGATTCTCACTATCATCACAGAAACCTGATTATTTACAGGGAGCTTTTATAGCCTATAAAATAGCTTTTATACTATTAATCCTCTGCATAACGAACAAATAAATTCTGCACCAGCTCTTGCCTAACTTTTCTTGAGTTTTTCCCTGGTGTCATAACAATTAGTTCAATGGGGAAACCTCTGACTGATACCACTGTGAAAGCATGTCATCACACATGAAACTCATGAACAAGGTCTTTCCAACCATCTCTAAATACATCATGAAAGGAATGTTTTTTTTTTTAATATTCTGTCCCTGTTTTTAGCAGGTAAATCAAAACCTGGCAACTTCCCCATGTCGGACACAATCCTACAGTGTTATTTCTGCTGAATCATGTGGCATGAGCTGTGCTAATCTGAGATTTGAGCTCTGAGCTCTTCCCATCCTGTCCAGCCTAAAACCAACCTTTCACTAACTCCTTTGTGCCTAATCACACAGTCAGGGTGGAGGTGGCTTCTCAAATGATGGATAGAAGTACCAATGAGAAGCAATGGAAAAATTCTGAATGGCACATATATATTCAGATCGTGGTTTCTCCTTTGTGGATAAACAAAAAGATCTAAAATACTAATGCTGTTTTGGACTTCATAACTTTTACTTATTCAAAACCGATGCAAATAATCACGTATTAATAAAATGGCATTTCCTGCACAAAAATTTAATTGAATACATCAGCCTTCCCTTTCTTTCTCTATTGATGCATGCTCATCTTTCTAGCCTTTCCTATGAGTTTTTTAAAAGTAAAGCTACAGAGTTTAAATGTCATTTCTCCAAAGTGGGACATGGTCAGTACTTGGAAATGGTTATGCATCTAATTAGTCACAGAATACATAACATCAGATGACTTAGGTAACAAATCATGACATGCACAGCAAATGATATAAAACATGCTTCATTTGAATTCCCACAAAATGCCACCATTACCTCTTCATAAATAGTTTCTCTCAGGCAAAGGTGAGCTCACAAATCCAATCCAGTTTTTTTAGTTCAAATCTTGCAAATGCTGTATTACAGTCAGTTACCCTGAATGATTCTGGTCTAAATAAGATAAGCCTCTGTCCCATTCAGAGCATAGCAAATGAGAGGATTTGAACATAAGACTCTCTGCCTGAGGCTATTCCACTACCCCACTTGGATTTTTACACTTCAACAGGACACTGGCATTCCTACTACTAAAAACATTGAAACGACATTTCTTCTGATCCCACCTCAGAAAACAGATATCTCACAGGTGTTTTCTAACCTTAATTCCTATGGCAATACAATTAAAATCTGCAGTACAAATGACTTAAGTATAAAAACAACAACAACAAAAAAATCCACTGGAAATAACATTCTCATTATGTGAGGAGTAAGGTTAATGAGCTATTACCTTGGCAGGTCCTTTCATCTGTGAGCAGTTTATAGCCTTTCTGGCAGCTGCACTCAAAGCTGCCAACCGTGTTTCGGCAGAAATGGTCACAGCCACCATTGTTTACCAAACACTCATCAATATCTGCAAGAATGAACAGCAAAGATTTAGTTCATGATAGCAAAAATTTAATTTGTGACAGCAATTCAGTCGCTCAGGGCAGGAATACAGGAATACTCAGATCCCCAAGGAGGCTGCTGTCCCTGTCAGGAACCAGGCTGGTCAGATGTGTCCCTTCCCAGACCTATTTCACAAGGCTTACAAGGAGAGCTATGGCCTGATCTGTTCAGGAGATAAAGGTGTTTCTCTCAGAACTGGAACCAACAGATGACCCAAGCTGAGGTACTTTGGTGTTAAGAAACATTCATGGGAGCTTCTCTGTAGATGGAGTGCTCTGCCTGACTGCAGACTTCAACCTGGGAAGGATGTGAATAGTTTTACCTTGTATAGGAACTAACAAAGCATAAGAACACACAAAAAATTGAAGAAATAACAAACGTGAAGTAAAAGATACTTGAATTCTGAAGAAATATTTCCATCATCCTTACACAAACAAATGCAAGGATATATTTTCTCAGAATGAGCATTATATGTTATTTCGCTCATTATTCAGTGACACAGTGACACAGTGTCACCCATTTTCATGTATCAGACTTTTCTCACTTGGTGTAGCAGAAAAGGAACTAACTCTGAGTGCACGTGAAATGTTGCTTCTTCAGTTATTCTGAAGACAGAGCACCTATTGCCTTAATCTGAAAGCCATATTATATATATATTTATATATATATATATATATTTATTTATATATATATATATATATTTATATATATATATATATATTTATATATACACACACACACAGTATGAAGGACAGCTCAATGGTTCTTACTTCAAATACTGATTATGAAGTGGACAGATGAACTTGATAAGACCTCTGTTCTGAATTTCATACTGATTATTCTACTTCCCACTCCTTTTAAGTTCTCCCAAATGTTATGAATATCTGGAATGACCAATCCCTTTTCCAATCCATAAAAGGTTGTGAAGTAAGTATATAGCAGGCCACAAAACATCATTTGAAATACAGGGTATCTTTCCATTCTCCCCCAATTATAAAACCATGGATTTACATTTATTTGAAAAAGGGGGAAATAAAAGTACTTTTATTATTTTTCAGGAGAAGAACAGTGCCAAAAAATAGCTCTTTTAATGAATGCATACAGTGAAGAAGTAATATGACATTGAGCCTTGGCTTCCCACTTCTGGAATTGAAAACAAGATCTTTCAGGGAACTAAATGGAGAGCAATGTTTCTTTTTGGAAAGCTTCTTGCTACAAGATCTTTGAAACTTTGAGGTAACAGCTGGCCATTTAAAGCGTAAATCTTGCAAAATGCAAATCTAGATGCCAAAAGGTCTAACATATGAAGATGGGAATTTATCAAAACCAGCAAGATGATGGTGAATGAAGGGCATGCTTTAAAAATTATTTGAATTCAGCAGAATTCTTAGTGAAAGTAATTAATTAATTTTTGGAAACATATGATTCCCACATGGGAACGAGGCATGGTGCTTACCATATTTCTGCATGTAAAATATAAACAGCAGCAAGAGGAGTGAGGTGGTAAATCTAAAAATCTGAACCACTGACAGGGAAATTCAGCCATCATTTCTAAAGAGCACTTTGCTGCACACACATTGACAGAAATATGTCCAGGGCTCAAATAAGCAAGAACAATGTATATTGTTATAAAGGTTTTCTTATGAGTTCCACTTAAGGCAAGGAGATGGGAAATTTGTTCTCAGACCCTCTGAAGTAATGCTGCTGCTTATTATTTTGTGTCTGGTTCTGCAGAGGAGTGGCTTTTGCATTCAATTAAAGAATGAGGGTAAATTGCAGGCAGCAGCTGTGGAACACCCTGAGTGCTTTTTGCAAAAAGCAGCTCAAATCTTTGTCTTGGGTAACAAAGCTCTCAAAGTGCCCCAAAATCAGGAGTCTGTTTGTTGTCTGTGGTGCTCCAGCTCTGGCATTTGGCTGGCCAACAACAGATAACCTTGGGCTCCCAACCTGATAGATCTGGTGAAAAACACACTGAGGGTCACCTTTTGTAACACAAGGAGACTGGAGGCAGGAACCCTTTTGGTTTGGCTGTGATCATCTGCACAGGTCAAGACTGGCAGTGAAAAGGCAAGAATTTTTGGCCCAATTCCTGCAACCTGGCATTTCCTTTTGTAGAAGTGATTCCTCCCAGCTCCCTAATGTGCAATTGGGACTGTGGTGTGGGTGTTAGGATGGATTACCACAAAAAGTCCCATCCTTTAGCAGAGCACAGGTGTACCTAACTACAGTTTAGCATGCCCTGACAAAACTGTGGGACAAATGGAAATGTGAATTAAAATTACTAATACGTTATCCATCATAAACACACAGAAGAGTCATCCATCATGAAGAAAGTATCTTTTACTCGTGATAAAAACAACATGACCTTTGGACTACTCTGCTGCCTGAGACTGCTTGAAGTAGAAATTACTTGCAGCCTGTCAAACACCATTCTGGAGTAACGATTGATGTTTTTAAATGATGGCCCCTGGATTTCACATGTTAAATTCCAAATTCCAGTCTCTTTTCTGTGTCTCTCATGACCATAAGGGACAAAAATGAAACCCTGCTGGCATCAGAGTGTAGATTTTAGGCTGTTAATAACTGTAATTCCATTAACAATGCAGCATATTAGCTTTACACCAGCAATTCTTTGGAATAATTCTAAACCAGGATCTGAGTAAAACCTGTGAGAGTCCACAGGAAAAGAAAGTATGTATTCATTTCTTCTAACTGGAAAACATGACATGACCTTTTGAAACAGGGACCATCAAAACAGAATAGAGGTCAAAACTGTTAGCTGCAAAAACATTCTAAATAACATAAACAGTGCCAATGTCTCTGCTTTCACTGTATTTCTTTCCATGGTCATAGCGAGACTGACAAGGCATGTAAAAATTATTTCACTCTGTGGAGAGCAGCACATTGCTGCATTTCATTGGAAGAGAGCAGTATCCAACTGTATGTATCATGTCTAGCTGGTTCAGAGAAATTGCAAGAATTCTGTATCCCCACTATTTTTCTTTCCTTGGTCATAAATAATATGTTTTATGAGCCATGTGAAAATAAATTATTCCACTGCATGAGAAGGTAAGGCCACATTTATATTTAAACTCAATGGTACCCAACTTTGTCAAGTGCCTCTTTGAACTTCACAGAGGGTAAGTGTGTCTGCCTCTCATGTTGGGCAAAAATACACAGTGGAAACCCATTGTGGTGTCTCTACCAGCTTTGACAGTATTTAGTAAAATATTTCCCTAATATTATTGGAACTGTCTGTGGAGCAGCCATAAACCTGCTGTCTTCAAACAGTTCTCAAGTGGCTCCTTGAGATGCAGGTTGCAGAAAAATAGCTCTAACTTCCCACAGGCTCTGCTCCCCTTTATCCTCAGAAATGCAGGAGGATGTAAAGAACTGTATTTCCTCTGTGGGGTTGTACATAAGATGCCCTGATGATACTGTGAGAGTCATTTCAGACCGGGAGGTGCGTTGGGAATAAACCCCAAGGGATTTATCCCAGTGCAGTGCGTCAATATTGTTAAATAATACCTTGCTCATCCAACCTCATGATCTGCTACAAAATACCAAAATGGGACACATGCAGATATGAAAATACAGGCCAGTGAGAAACCAGAGAAATATTGAAAATTATGGTCAAAACTATCAGGTGAAGGTATGGTATAACATGCAACTCATCACTCAAGCCTCCTGTTAGCTCTGAAAATGGTTCATCCAAGCAATTAAATACAAACAAAAGCAAAGATAAGATTTGCAACAAGGAAGCTAACACCTTCTTTAAAGTTGTAATATTTGAAGGAAAAAACTCCAGATGCAAATATCTACATCTGGAGATGGAGCTCAGCAACACCATCACAAAAGCTGTGTGTCCATATGAACCCAGGAATGAATCCTGGGTTTGTAAAAAAAAAAAAAACAAACACAAAACCCATAATATAGTTATTGTTGTAAGTATATTAATATATAATAATAGATTCTCCTATTTTTTCTGAGGATCTCAAAATGTGAGGGAGGCAGTGGAATCACCTTTAAATAAAAATATAGAAACTCAGATGCTTTGTGCTAAGTTGCATAGCTACAATGCTACAATTTGACTCGGCTAAGCAAGCAGACTGTTATTTTTCTTTTCATGATCTTGTGAAGATTAATGGGAATGCCTGCTCCTGTTCCACTTGCACCTTTTTTAAACTCTTCTCAGTGCACTTCATGTTTGGAAGGAGTTGGTTCTGATCAGGGTGCATGTATGCACTTGTGTGTGCACATATAAACCCACAGAGATTTGCCTTGCTGCATATAGGCCAGGGAACAAATTAAAAAGCAGGGATTTTAGGTAACTTAGAACTTAACATTTCACATAAGCTGCTTAAAGGCAACTGAAAGGGTAATCAACATGCAATCTTCACTTAGCTGCTGAACAATGATGGAGATGGAGGTTTCCAGCGCCTCATCACAGGCGGAAGTGAGGATCCTCCTTTCAATGGCTGGACAAATATTTGAACTGATTGTGCCTGTCTAATCCTTTACAGATTTGAAATGCTACCTAGCTCCAGGAAAAGAATATACTCCCAGATCAACCTAAAATAATTACTGAAACTTCATCAGCTTCTTGTTTTTAATAGTGAAAGCCAGCATGCTGGAATTAGTAATGCCATTACCGGTATACAGTGGACATCAATATAAATACATTTTCTGCAAGGTAGGCTGGTTTGCTAGTTCTTTTTGTTCTCTGATTTCCTAATTTTCCCTTGCTTTTCTTCCCTTGCTGTTCCTCATGGTTTTACAAATCACCACTGTCCCCTAGAAATTGGAATTAGTGATGCCTTGTTGACACAGATATTAGTTCCCTGCTGCACACAGACCACAAAGAATAAAGCAGCTACAAAACTTTTTAACCCCATGCTGGAGGTAGGGAAATAGAGAAACAGAAAAAATAACTAACTCATCCACACTTGAATCCAATTTCAGTGT